AGTTCAAAAATAACGATTGTGACAATTTTTACAATCATTAAAATCTCGAAACATGCTCAAAAAAATTTTTCTCGCCTATTTAATACCTAAAAATAAAATTATTTTTATAGGTTCTGTTATGAATATTATGACAATTGTCACTTTTATAGTTTACACATTATATTAATTCATGTTTGAAATAATCATTTTTCTCTATTTCCAATTAAAACATATGTGAAATAAGTATTATGACAATTGTCACCTTTATATGCTTTACAATCACTGAAACCATCTCAAAACATGCTCAACTAGCCTTTTTTAATTATAATTATTTTTAAAGGTTCTGAGATGAGTATTATGACAATTGCCACTTTTATAGTTTACATTAAATATAAAACATTAAAATTATGACATTACATTTTTAAAATAATCATTATTACTTATTCCAAATATTAAAAAAAATGCGGTATTATGACCAATTCTCACATTTACAACCTATTCAAAAAAAAATATTTTCATTAACATAATAAAATAAAAAAAAATATATATCAAAAATTTTATTTTTAAAGAATTTACCAAAAAATTTTAAGATCAAAATTTCAAAAATATTTTAATAAAGATTTCCTTACAAAAGATTTTATTTTATTATAAAATTCTCAAAATATTTTCTCAAAATTATAGAAGATTTTTTTACAAAAAATATTTTTTATTTTGCTCAAAAATCTTCTTTGAGCAAGCTCAAAATTTTTTTTAGCGAAAAAATCTTCGCAAAAAATTGATCTTCAAAGATTTTTTCCTCAAATTTTTGGGCGAAAAAAATCTTCAAATTTTTATTTGAAGATTTTTGTAAAACCCTGATTTTAGATGACTAAACTACGCATCGAGCAAATTAATGTTAAGGGGGCTAGTCGTACCGATTTTTGCAAAATAGTTTTTTTTTAAAATTAATAATTTATTGGATCAGCTAGAACTACTCCTAGAGAGTATATAATACAGGTTCTTCAATTTTTTTCGATAGCCAATATTGCAAAATATTTTGATGGGGAGGCAATTTTTGGCTATATATAAGAAATTAATTTTTGTCATAATATAATAAATAAATACTTTTCGGCTCAAAATTATTGGGCTAACTAACTAGTGCTAAATATTTGGACAAATCCAACTACTGAACCGACTTGAGCCAAAGCATATTACTAGTCGGCTTGAGCCTAAGCCAAATTTTATGTCTTTAAAACAGACTCAGAAAATTATTGAATTAAACATATATTACCCGCATTTTTTTGATCATATAGGAAATTTAAATATGTAAAAATCGATATATTCCTCTAATAAGGTTAGCCAGGTAATGGAAGATAATTATTTCGAATTAATTAATATTAAATTAATATTGAATTGAACTATTCATCCTCTGTAAAGTTTTCTAAAATAAATGATTGTTACGAGATTATTTATTTTGTTTTAAATTAATAATTTAATTTTATATAATTATTTAAAATTTTACAATTTTTTATCAAACTAAAAATAAGGCTTATATAACAATTTTCATATTAATATATAAAAAAAAATCAATCTACACAATTTATATAAAAAAATCAATTTATATCAACATAAAAAAAAACAATTTAAAGGTTAGTATTAATCGGTCATATAAACATTCCACCCTTTAAAAAAATGATCTCCACTCAGGTTTTTCTTGCATGTGAATCTTATCTTGCAGTCTGTCATAGTTTCGTCTTGGAAAACGATATTTATTTTGGTTGTGCATATGATTGTTCAAGTCTTTCATAAGTCATTGTAGTCGTTGGCTTGATTCAATCACGTTGGTTTGTTAATATCGTTCTGAGTACGCTGGCTCGTCGTTAAGCTCCGTCATTATCATTGTCAATTTTACAAAATTGTTATTATCACCAATTGTAAAATTATCATTATTAAATAGGATTTCGGAATATATGAATAATTAGAGAATCGATCAAATTTGGATGTTAGAATAATATAAGGATGATAAATCAACAAGATTGTTAGATAATATTTTTAGAGGTTTTTTTTATTTTTTTTATATATTTTTTAATAAAAGATGATAAGATGATATGTACGTCTGAACATCTATCTCTCTCTTCGGAAATTTAAACTTTATGCCCTTATTTTTTAATTTAAAAAGTATTTTGAAATAATAATTATACATAAGATTGTTTTTAGTAAAAAAATAATTTTTTGAGCCTTAAATTTTTAGAAAAAGATCTTTTCATCACATCCTTGAGTATTATTTTAGAATGAAGACGTTTAGTTTTTATATGACTTCTCTTAGTGATACTTTTAATTGTCTTCAAATTTATAAGTTTCAAATTTTTTTTATCGCATTTAGTAAGAGTTTTTTTTATTTCAATATTTTCTTTAATGATTATTTCCTTATTTTCTTTAAAGCTTATTTCCTTATTTTCTATAATCACAAATGTTTCAAATTTTATTATATAATTTATTTCTTTTAGTTTATAAGAATCTCTTTTAGTTTATAAGAATCTCTTTCCTTTTGAATATTGGGTTTTAATTCAATATTTTTCAATTTTTTGTTACTAAAAGATTTACAATTATAATAATAATTTCTTTTATAATAATGTGTTTCTTTATCTAATTTTCTATTTTTATAATAATTCTCATTATTAGATTCACTAAAATTTTTATTAGAACAATTTTCTTTTATTTCTGTAGCCGATTTATAATTACATAAACACTTTAATATATATATGTTTCATCATAACTTGAATTTAACTCTCTTGGAAACACTGCTTTCATGACTAAATATAATTCATCTAGTAAATTACCTATTTAAGCTTATAGTATTCTTACTATCATGAAATTTTAAATAATCTTCTAACTTGTCAATGGACTTTGTTTTATTATTATTGTCCCATATAGGTTTATTCATAATTTAGAGATTTATCATTAAATTTTTTTAATTATTCTTCACTTTTTCAAATAAATCATTTCTTACGTGTTTTTAGAATGATATACATATTACATTCCAGAACTTTTTTTTATCTAGTTGTCTATGTTCCAGTAGCTAAAATCATATTGTCTGTGGATTTTAGAATATTTTGTAAGTCATTATAGCCCAATTTTATTTAGTTCCTCTAATTTGATATATACCTCATCTGGTAGTCTTCTCGTAAAGGAATCTGCTTTTTCAATGTCCGAGATCTGAGTGTCCTTGAAGATGTCTTCGAATCTACTCAAAAAAAATCGCCATTGCCTGAGTATATTGGAAATTCAATATTTATATTAACATTATTATTGAGAATCTGTTTCATATTTATTTATTTATTTACGATTTCCTCGAATATGTAGACGGAACTGCCACCATAAAGTTTTCTAAAATAAATGATTGTTACGAGATTATTTATTTTGTTTTAAATTAATAATTTAATTTTATATAATATATTTTAAAATTTTACATTTTTTTTATCAAACTAAAAAATCAGGCTTGTATAACAATTTTCATATTAATATATAAAAAAAATCAATCTACACAATTTATATAAAATCAATTTATATCAACATAAAAAAAAACAATTTAAAGGTTAGTATTAATCGGTCATATCAACACTGTTTTAAATTGGCTTATCGATTAAAACTCGAGTTTATAGAGTAAAGTAAAAAATATCAAATATTTTCAGTTTAAGAAGAGAACAATTTTAAAAATAAGTAATCTTAAGATAATTATTTCTATGTTAATATTGAAATACTCGTCCTTTATAAATAAAAATATGATTAAAATTGATATTTCTTTTCTGAAAGTTAAACATTAGCCCAATAGTATCTCACGAATATCAAGATCATGCAATTTTTCGATAAACCATGGATTTATAATATGAATTTCAACATATTAAATATCTTTCCAATTTTTAATTTACTATCAGTCATATTTATAGACATATTTTGTTTATTCCACAAAGACTGACACTTTTGAAATGAGCATGTTCTAAAGCTTTCTCTGCACCAACTGTGGCCACTAAATTAATATTGTGGCAGGCACATAAATGCTGTGGTAGAAAATCATCACATTCTACTGCTAATAAGGATATCATTGATATCCACATATTTAAAATTTTCATCTATTTTAGAACTTTTATCCTCAAACATTCTAAAAATATAAGGAAAGTTATATATAATTTTAAAATGATTAATATAAAATAACCTGAAAGCCTTTACAAGATTTTTACCATTGTTACTAATGGTGTTTATTGCTTTATTCTGTATTAAACTTCTATGTATATCAATAATAATCTTGGCCAAAAATATTAAAAGTGTGCTTTTCAACACGTTTTGAGGTTAAGGATGCAGACCTTTGTTGTAATGATTTCCAGTCGATCCAATGGCTACATCCAATAAAGTTGTCTCATAAAGATCCACCTCTTTTTTAAAAGAGAAAAATATTTAAGGTAAGATGGGAATAAATTTATTTAATCCAATCAACACTATATTATGGTCTGCCATGTTTTATGATTTGAAAAAGAGAAACTATAAAATATAAATAACAACTCGGCTCAACATTTAATACATAAATAGTTTAATAAACTTATTGTATATTAATTCAACAAAATATATTTATCATTAAGAATTTTTTTTTAAACAATTTATTCAATAAATTTAAAGTAACGGAGGAGCGGTGTTCCTCCACTCATTCCAAAAACCTAGCTAGCTCCCGCTCCCGACTTCTAGTTAGATTAGCTAAACAGTCTTTTTTGACGAAATGATTTTTGTTCGATTAAATGACGAATCATTTATAAAGGGGCAATATTTTGAGGCATTCTCCTGGGTTAGCAGTTTACTTAATATCCCATGTACGATGAACCAAATATCCGCCTTTAAATAATTTGAATGACTTTATTACAATTCAACAAAGGGGTAAAATTTTTTTGCTTTAAGTGTAAATAAGAGTTATGGAGAGGAGTTTAATAGATTAATCACAACTTTTTGAAATAATAATATGTAAAAAAAATGACTATTTAAAAAAAAAAAATAAGGCTCTCAGAAAAATGACGAGAAATGTTTTTAACTCCACCGATTTCCTGAACACTGATCCCGAATTGGTGCAAGCCTTCATAACTCACGAGCATGTTAAGCCCCTAACACCCATGATATTGCAATTCCTTATCAAGTGGGCTCAAAATCGATGTGCCGTTTATTGCAAACCCGTTACTTCGGGAAGAGTTATAAACGCTCTGAACGAAAATGTCATGGTTATGAACTACATAGAGAACTTGAATTATCTAGACTTCCGTGAAATCGTGGTGAAACGAAAATTATTGAGCGAGTTTGTTATGATGGAGGTATTATCCGCCAGAATTCGTAGCTTGGAAATCGATAGTTATAAGCCAGACTTGATAAAAGTCGAAATCTCACTGCACTGTCATAAGTTTAGTGTAAAGTCACCGGTGCTTAACACCTTTCCTACTCATTTAGATGTGTGTCAACAGATATACCTAGTTGGTCTTGGTAATAATTGTGACTATAATGGTAAAATAAATATAACGGTCAAAGATGACGATCAAATTTGTCTTAAGTACGAAATTAATTCTACTAATTCTATTGTACAACCTCCATATCATTTTATGCTACCTCTAATACCCCTATACCAATCTCACCATTGTATCATAAATTTTCTGAAAAATGCTTCAACCAGCGATGTGACATGGAACGGAGAAGCCATAAAAGTGACCTCAGGTTCTCAGAATTCTATTTTAAATGAACTCTTTTACATTTGATATGTTATTTCAAATTTCTATATATTACCCTTCAGAACTTATATTAATCATATATGTCTACTTGTTCAAATAGGATTTATAAATAAATTCATTAAAAAAGTAAATTTAACATTAAGATATTATTAAAGTAACAAATTCAGAATTATATTATTATAAATTTTTCGCGATTTATATTTGTGGCAATAAAAAAAAATAATGATATTTATTAATGACTCGACTAGTAAAGATTATGATTCTATAACCATTAATCTATATATTGTAAATTTCAATCCTAAATAACTAGGACCGGTGGACTAACAGAAATTACGATTGTGAAAGTTTTCCGTAAAATAGGGTTCTGGTTACGTTTTTGAGATTATCAGAGATTCAGGTTCTTTCTAATTCCGGTATCATACTCCGTTATAGCAATGAAAGTTTCAAAAAAAATTTAACAATAAACCAGGGATACGAATCGTAGGAAAAATAGACTTAAGTTCTGACAAAAATCACGGTTCAGATTTGATTGATAAAATTTATGGCTATGCCGATATTTAATGTCAGATCGTCACAGATATTTTGCGTTTTCAAAAAATTTCAGATATGGGCCTATTTTAAATAAACCGATCCGAAATTTTTTTATTTTTGGGTTATTTTATAATTGTATATATAATCGTATAATTTTTTATAATAATAAATTAATGGAAGGAACATGCACAATTTATTTGTTGTAATGCTTAGAAAAAGTTTAAAATTTTGTTATATTTGCAAAAAAACGATTAATTCAAAATTTTAAGAGTAAATTACCTTTGATTATTGAGTTTTCCAGAGGTATCAGAAAGGTTTGGACATCTATTGGCGTAATTTCAAGGCATAGGTAATAATATTTTTGTAAACATTTTAATTTGGCCCTTTTTAAAAATCGACTAAATGGAGCTGTTTAACAACACTACATTCACACATAAACATTGCAAATATTTTAAATGAGAATATTAACTTGTGGAAAATAAAATATTGATATATTTATGAAACACGGAGAATTGACATTCATTTTGTATATTTCCCAAAGAAATAGTGGCTAAGAATTTTATGCTTTTTTTTTATATATATGATTAGTATCGAGCATATAACAATAAAATGTTTGAATGAGCCAATAAAATTACAACACTGAGTGTATATTTATATAATATGGTAAAAAATAAAGCTACCTTCATTTTAAGGTAGTTCCCTTCTAATTACAATAAATTTGAATAATTTATACTATATAAATTTTCTTAAATAGGAAATCTCTTAGTTAAAATTGTTTTGTTATTTATAAACCAAATTAATTATAATACTACTTGCACTTTTCAATTTTGAGAAACCTCTACGTTACCCACTAAGAACGTTTTTAATATGTTATTGAAAGCGTGGAGCCACATACACCCTAGCAGGGGGATCTTATCACAATCCACAACTATGGCCTCCAACGTTTGTGAGTTATCTTCAAACTTAACGTTCACATTAGCTAGACCTAATATCTTGATGGCGCTGCCGTCATAACCTATCAGTTTCATATCCGTCTTACATATCGTGGTTATGCCTACGGTCTTAGTTGTATGCTTCGGGAGTATTGTGTACCTTGTACCGGTGTCCACTTGCATCAACTTGGGTATGTTGTTGATGCTCACCGTTACGTTTTACGCGTCATATCTGGTATCGTTGACCCCCAGATTGTACACTTCAAAATTCTGAAGATTATATTCTTTAAGGTCTGTGTTTAAGTCGTCGTCATCATCGATTACTTCGATGTTCATAGCATGGTTCGTATTCAATTGACAATCACGATCTTTGTAATCAGAAGATCTGTTGTAGGTATTATTGTCATTTTTGTACTGGTTGGGCCTCGACGAATATTTCGGAAAACCATTAATAATTTGAGGGTTGTGCCTGTGCTGAACATGACGGGAATAGTTGGTTCGGTTTATTAAAAATTCAATATTAAAATTGATAAATTTAAATATATATAAAAAAGTTCTTGGACCGATTTTTATTTAAAAATATTAAGCCCGACCCGGCCCGAACCCTATTTTCTAAAAAGAGTTAGGCCCGAGCTCGACCCGAAGCCCGTTTGGGCCGGGCCTACTTTTGCAGATCTCTATAATTTTTATTGATTTTATTTAACCTTTTACCTTTATATTTTTCCCCAAATTTTTAATTAAAATTTGAAGAAAATTATGACATTTTTTAAAATGATAAAGATTAAAGTTTATAAATATTATGTCAATAAGAAAGATACGGTAATGATGTAGATAGTTCATCTCTTTACTTTATCGTTTTATGAGACATCGTCCAAATTATAAAATATTTTATCTCTCCACACCCCCCCCCCCTTTGAACTTTTATCTCTTAAAAGATAAAAAAAAATGGCTAATCTAAATTTACCTCAATTCAAAAATGTAGGTACATCTACACGGACGAAATAAATCTAGAAGAGACCTTAAATCTTCCGGAACTGATTAATCTTTTGTACGCTTCTAAAAAATACATGTTAACCGCCTTGCAATACAGATGCGTCAAGTACGTAAACGACAATATTGATCGATCCAATGTCATCGACGTTTACCTGTCTACCTCAATTCACCCCGAGATTGATAAATCAAAATGTTTAGAAGTTTGGATTTTTATAAACGAATTATTCGACATTCAATTTGACGTATACGAATAAGAAAAAAATATTATTCGTGCGAATTATGAGAAATTATTTCGCAATAATTGAACATGTCCCGAAAATGTATTTTCAAAATAAAAATGGCGTCAAAAAAATTTAAAATTCTCTAAATTCGAATCTGATAAACAATCACCCCTTTTCCTTTAAAACCTGTTAAGCACTGCTCAACAGAAGTACTAGAGGGAAGAGGGGCATTATATTTTGTATAAATATTTTTTTTAAATCATTATTTTATCCAATATATTTATTTTAATATTATAATCGATTTGATTGACACCAAAATAAATCTCCTAAATCATTGATAGGCAACATTAGAAGGCTCTATAACCTGAAATATATTTATTTCGAAAAATTAACTTGATATTTCCTTTTCTGAAACATTAGCGCAATTATATCACATGAATATTAAGATCTTATAATTTTTCGCTAAATAACTGTGGTATTTGAACAAATTAGATATCTTCCCGATTTTTAATTTATACTATCAGTCATATTTATATACATATTTTGTGTGTTCCACAAAGACTTACACTTTTATGAGTATGTCTTAAGCATGAACTGTGGCCACTAAATTATTGTGACAGGCACTTAAATCCTATGGTAGAAAATGATAACCTTCTACTCTGTTAATAAGGATATCATTGATATCCACATCTTAAAAATAGAACTTTTGTCCTCATACATTCTAAAAAAATATAAAGAAAGTTATATATAATTTTAAAATGATTAATTTAAAATAACCTTGAAAGCCTTTACAAAATTTCTATCATTGTTAGGGTTTTTATTGTATTCTGGATATTAAACCTCCATCTTCTTTGTATATCAATTATAACCTTGACCAAAAAAAAAGTATGCATACCTTCAACACATTTTAAGGCTAAGGCTACAGACCTTCGTTGCAATGATTTCGAGTCGATCCAATGAGCTGCAACATCCAAGAAAGTTTTTTCATTAAGCTCCACCTCTTTTTAGAAGAGAAATCTATTTAAGTTAGGATGCGAGAATGCAAATTTTATTTCATCCAATCAACACTATGGTCTGCCATGTTTTATGTATTTAAAAAGACAAACTATAAAAATAAATAGCAACTCGGTTCAATATTTAATATATAAATAGTTTCATAAATTCATATTGTATATTCATTCAACAATATACATTTATTATTAAGATTTTTTTAAAAGAAGCTTTCCTATTCTTTAAAAAAATAAGCGGCACTCCTTGACTTCTAGTTAGAAAAGCCAAACAGTCATTTGATGGCGAAATGATTTTCGTTCAATTAAATGACGAATTCATTTGTAAAGGGGCATTATTTTGAGACATTCTCCTGGGTTAGCAATTTACTCAATATCCCAAGTGTACGATGAGCCCAAATATCCGCATTTAAATAATTTGGATGACTTTATTACAATTCAAAAAAGGTCTGGAAGTCGGATTTATTTAATCATATTATATTATAATATTATAGATATAGCTAGCAATATTGTATTCTTGGATTATCTACCAAATAATAATGAAAAAAAAAATATCTCGAGAAGAAAATTTAATCAAAATTCTCGGTTAAGTTGATGCAAATAGACAGCAATCTAAATTTATATTACGTGTCCAAAATGTATAGAAACCTAATAGATTTTTTTCTAATATTAAATATATCAAATTTTATTTTTAATTCAATGTAATTTATTTATATTTAAAAAAAATTATGCCATTTTTTCACTTTGATAATTTTATATATTTATTGTCTAATTTCATTATTATAAATCTAATTTCTACTCATTACAATGTAAATTAATATAATTTTAAAATATACAAATTTCTAGTTAAAACTTGCATTATTATGGAAAACATTCAATAGGTAGGGTAAAATTTCTTTGCTCCTAAATGTAAATAAAAGTTATGGAATATGTAAAAATGACTATTTAAAAAAAAATTAGGCTCTCAGAAAAATGACGAGAAATGTTTTTGACTCCACCGATTTCTTAAACGCTGATTCCGAATTGGTGCAAGCCTTCATAACTCACGAGTATGTTAAACCGTTAACACCCATGATATTGGAATTCCTTCTCAAGTGGGCTCAAAATCGATACGCCGTTTATTGCAAACCCGTTACTTCGGAAAACGTTATAAATACTCTGAACGAAAGTGGTTTCAAAGTTATGACCTACATAGAGAACTTGAATTTTCTAGACTTCCAGGAAATCGTAGTGAAACGAAAATTATTGAGCGAGAGTGTTCTGATGGAGGTATTTTCCACCAGGATTCGTAGCTTGGAAATCGATGGTTATAAGCCAGACATGATGAACCTCGAAATTTCACT